TGGCCAAGATGACACATGGAGTTATTGCAAGGTGGGCTTGGTGATACATGGGGGGTATTTTTAGGTTGCCTAGCTGGCACACGGAGAGGGGTATATTGCGGTGGTCTATGTGACATATATGGGTTATTGCGAGGTGGTCTAGGTTACACATGGGGGCTATTGTGTGGTCTACGTGACACATAGGGTTGTTCCGGGAACATATAGATTGCCTCGTCCTCATGTATTTGCACTAATTAATCAATAATCTGGAAAACAACGCAAATAGTGGCCCTTTATGTTGGATTTCGAGGCATTTCTTTTGTATCATATAGGTATAATGATTACGTGAATTTCTTTATATTACCAGGCAATGGGACGATTGACTTTCCTGAATTTCTCCAGATGATGTCAAAAAGGAACGAAGGTGGAGACTCCGAAGAAGAACTTCGAGAAGCATTCCGTGTATTTGACAAGGATGGCAACGGATTCATAAGCGCCGCTGAACTTCGTCATGTCATGACAAACCTTGGAGAAAAATTAACTGACGAGGAAGTTGATGAAATGATTCGAGAAGCCGATACAGATGGCGATGGACAAGTTAATTATGAAGGTAATCGTGAATCATGTGACAATTTGTATATTGGATGAGATGCATGCGTAATAAACAAACACCTGATACAATCCTATACAGCAGACAATTTATTTATTATAATCCCCCTGGATTGCACTGGAAATTAAGCTAATTGGCATTCATCTAATCATTTATATGGAAAGTTTAACGTCCCATGACAGTGGCCCCATTGACACGTGATAAAACGTATCCCTATGCATGAGGGTTTTAATTGACAGGTTGGATCATTCCATTTTAATTGGGGATAACAACATATGAACTCTGTATAATTAATAAAACAACACATTCATTCAATAGAATAAATAAAAAAATAAAATAAACTGAAACAAAATTATATGCTACTTCATCGTATAAATTAGACGTCTAATTTACCAAGCCTATCTCTTTAAACTATTTTATTACATCGGTGTTGTGTCCAGCATTTCAAGGATGGTGCACCTTGGGAAATGTCTCGTAGCCGTGTTGCTTTTAGTGATATACGCTTTGCAACCATTACTGGTCGCAGGTGTATTTTTGACACTGGGAGAGAGTTATATAGTAAATGTTCACGTGACAGAAGGGTACATATTAATTAATCATAGCGAAAAAAACATCATCTTTCGTAATTATTTTTTTACAGAATTTGTGAAGATGATGACAACAAAGTGAAGATCTTCATTATCATGTTTCCTCAAATTTTCCTAATTATTCATGGAACGGAATTTCATTCTACTCATCTTCCAAGCGATCCACATGTCGGGGATCTTGCTGTTACTAGGTGACGATCAAATTATGCAAATGATATGTAAATACTAGCTTATTATGTAACTAATTATGTGCATAATTAATGCCTGTAATCCTGATTCGGGCTTGCACATTTCGAATTCATCTAAATAACCTTTCTTACCTTAATTAAAACATGCTTATATACTTTATTCAGTGGCTTCAATACATTATTTATACACTTTACGTCGAGTCTGTACAATAATTAAAATTTAAAATTTTTGTCGAATAATTCTTTCCACTGACTGTGTTTTGTTGCAACAACAAATGCACCATCTGAAGGATGGTTTAAAGTTTTTTTAGAATAATTAAATGCTTTTTATACTTAATTGTGTATTTTAATTATGTATGATTCGGTGACAATGTACTGGGTTACGTAATCCAACAGGCGTATACGATCATTACAGTTAATGAATAAAATCACTCTCAACTTTCAAAAGTGCTAAATTCATGTTACCTGAAATTACACGGTGCATAATTAAATAACTGATACATTAATGTTTTCAAATGTCTAATTGCTAGACTATAATTCAAAGGAGTTCGTGCCAAATTCAAGTTTCTACAGACCATGCTACTGCGCATGTATAATGCGTAAAGCGAGATTACAACGTTGAAACTCCGAAATATATTGCATTTTTTATGACTCAATTTATTTAAACAATTATTACTAGAGGTCAAATTGAGACGATGGATGTTTCACCATGGTGTTTATTTCAAATTTACACAACGCGGCATTGTCGTAGATAAATAAGATTCACAAATCACTTGCACTGAACCACAAGTGTACCGTTAAGCATGTACATACTCTATCTATTGCTCACATAGAATGCTTTAACTTGTCATTCAATTATCACATAAGTGTACTTATCACCGCCCATATATACTAAAACTACCGCAGAGTGGAATAGTGACTCAAAGCGAATAATTTTTAATTAACATTTAACATTTAAGAAAATAATGTTTATTCATTTCATTTGTTCGTGTCAATTAGATTGACTACACCCGTGATTCATCGCAGAGCATCTTAACGTAATGCACAATAACGTATCAAAATCACCATAAAACTTCTGATAACTGCAGCTTAGTATTGTATCCCCTAGTGATATCATCACTTTAATTAACGGCTTGATGCGACAACAGCCACGCCAACCGACTTGGCATGAAACCCCACATAATCTCGTTATTACCACTATTAATGTAAATCTAAGGATCAATTGAAAGTGTAAGTAAAGAGTGTGAAATAATACAAGAGCGAAATAAGTGTCGTACTTTAAGGTTTGTGAATAATGGTAATGTGATTAGAAATAATGAATATGCATGTAATAACGTCTAAGTACAGCGGTTTCGCATAGCTGACTCCTTGACATGCCATGAATACTGAACAGAATGTCGCTCCCTTAATGGGTTATAGCAAACAACTGCGCGAGAAATATGTTCTATTACTTTTAATTATTCCTCTGTGAGTGTGCATGGAGTAAAACATATGTGACTTTCTGCATAGAGCACTCCACGGAGTGGCGATCAAACGAGGTTCATATACAGGTACTTGAAATCAGATAATGTCATACCATAAACCTTCCGATGGAGGGTTTGTGGTTATACTGTCACGTGATCCATATTACATTACCTATATCACCATGTTTTTACATCACCCATGTCACAGATAACTTAACTAGATAATTCATCAACTATGCGATACATTCGTGTTTTGAATTCTCAAAAATGAATGCGTACCAACTATAGAGGTCGCACTAATATTATCTCTAATTTTACATGGGGTGGGTGTATTAGACAGTGATGGCCAACAATTGGTATTAGTACTCATCCAAAACATATTCATGTTTCGCGGATACGTATACGTACGTCGAAATAACCGTTGGTCCATCCTACGAGCGTTGTAACTGGAAAATTAATATTAAAATAAATTTAGAAAAACATTTTTGGCATTAGAATTTTAATTTAGATTTATATACTGTACATACATATCCCTTCACTAAGTAACAGTTGAATATTGATTGTATAATACTTGAGTTCAAATCAATTGTATTCAAAGTACATCCATGTAAAGGGTTGCAATTTAATTTAGTTGTTTCGGTTCCGCCCAGACAGCCTCCCTTGGAATGTCTCTCCCTTTTAGTCGTTTGGTTGTTATATGGTTAATAATTGTTGTGATACTCCCTGCTTATCCGTTTGTCATTCCAGTACCATTCTCTTGGCATACCCCTCGCTGATATATAGGTGTACCCTGCTTAATATGTTTAATTCTGTGACCTTTACTTGGGATAGCCCGGTGTTCTATTGGTCAATTCCGCAATCTTTTCTTAGAATCTCAAATATTCCACACCCCTTCCCGCAAGTCTGCTTAATCCTGTGAACTTCACTTGGGGTAGTGTGATGAATTTGTTTTTACGTATCTGTTAATCGACTTAATTAGTTGATTACGAGTGAATGGCTGTGTTATGTCTGGCACCGTTTAGGCCATGTGAAGTTCTGGACGCAACTCGACTCAGTGATTTGAAACTAATTACGAGATAACCGTCGCTATTCTGACTACTATTTCAGTAGTATTCGTAGTTATTAATGTAGTGAACGATTAATCAAAATATATGACGTGTTCAGCACTTAGTTTGATTGGCTTTATGATTGAAGGTTACGCCTTAGAGTCTTTATACTGCTTTGTAATTAGTTAGGGTTTTGAAAATGAATAAAGTTGTTTTTAGTTGGTCTTGGCGAGCACACCAGAACAGAGGCAGTCCTGGAGAGTCTTTGGGCGAGTCTTGACGCAGTCTAAAGGCAGTCTAGGATTAGCCTTGCGATAGTATTGGGGATTTTTCCTCAGGGCGTTGTGTCTTATAGAGTGCTCGACTGACAGACTAAGACGAGAGTTGAAACGTATTTTGTTGTATGTGTCTTATTTGACTGTAAAGTTTAAGTGACGTTCCCGGTCCCGTACCTCAAGGGGACGTGATAGAGAGACGAGATTCCCCCCTGACACGTGTGGAGAACCCCAGAGAGGAAGAATTTACCCCTGATAGCAGCCTTTCTGTTTAGTAGTCTGTTTCCCAATCTCGTGACATTTCCCTGTTAGTCTGTGACTTTAATCCCGTGACCCTTTCATGAGATACCCTGCTGGTCAATTCTTTGCCCAGGGGGTTCTCTGAATAAAATATGGTACGCAAGCTGAAGTAAAAAAAAACGCGTAAAAGGGTTGTTATTTAGTTATTTGACGCATGTACCGGATGTAAAATATAGTAATAAAGTGTGAAAAAAGGAATCTCAATTTTAGTATGTATATAGGGTGTCTATTTTAAGTTTCTGCACTTGAAAAGGAGTATAATTTCACAAAAATAAGTACGTCATGGTGTTTAGAGGCTTTTTTGAAAAGCTATACTTCAGCAAGGGTACCAGTTCCTGCTCAATGCTACCACCTTTCCCGGCTAGTCCGTTGCTTGATTGCCCCTGCTGGTCCGTTGGTTAATTCCGTGACTTTCATGTCTCCCCGTGGTTGCTCTAGTCCTGTTGGTTAATCATTATAGCAGCAATAGAACAGAGCACTAAATATCATCTCAGTCTCGACAGCCTTGGGCGTCAAATCAAATGGCGCTTTTTAACCAAGGAATTTTGTCGTCTGAAAACGGCCTGTGAGGGCTCACTTTACTTACATCAATAGTGGCCGGTATATTTTTAGTGTGGCTTAATTGTCTAAGAGTAATTTCCTAACATCAGTTGATATCTTATAACTTTTTTTACAATTACCTTGTTAATCTGGTGCAAAAACGGTCAGGGTTGAATTTAAACTCAAGTAGACTTAAGAATTTACATTAGAATAGGTCTTCGGATTTGATTACGTTCTTTTCAAAATGAATAATGTCAAAGACAGGATTATTATCATTACGAGAAATGTAATTTTCGTATACAGATTAGGTACAATAAAATAGAACTGACTTTCCCCGTGTTTTGGACAAACCGCGGCATTTTCTTTCATCGCCACTTATTCGCTGAATTCGTGAATTTGTGGTGGCGATATGATTTATCTAACCGATGGAAAACAATTTAACAATTTCCCAGCGTTTGCAAAGGTCGACAATGTTCCGTCGCAGACCAATGTAAGAATAATGGTCATACTTTGTTACTGCCACGCCACCTAACGTCCAAACTATGAATTTCGTTCATACATTTACCACTCGTGGGGGTTTGGGGTTGTGATGCACTGTGCTATTAAATACACATATTTTCAATTTTGCGAACAATGTACAGCCTTGCCGGACTGAATTTAGACTGGCTGAATTCTTTCCATGGCTTGAACTCATGGTTGATTTTTTCTTTTATTTTTGAGCTTCTTATTTATAATTACAGCAATGAATTCTGGGATTGTAGAATCCGTTACAAACAAACTAGAGACCCAATTTGGCGGCACATATGAAAACAGCTTTCCATCCCCTGAATTTATTCGCCTCTTATAACACATTGTTTAAAAAACATGCCGACTCGCCCATAACGGTTGTCAAAAGTGATTTACATTTTTGTCACTTTGACTTGGCGCAGACGTTTTACTCTATGTCATTTTTGTCACTTTGACTTGGCGCAGACATTTTACTCTATGTCATTTTTGTCACTTTGACTTGGCGCAGACATTTTACTCTATGTCATTTTTGTCACTTTGACTTAGCGCAGACATTTTACTCTATGTCATTCTATACTCACATTCCTTAACTTAATACTTCTAAAGTTGTGACGTAGACTATGGCATAATCATTGTTGACATATTTCCGTCTGTCTGAAATAAATATAGTTACAGAGGGCGCTTTTATACAGAAACTAAGGGGTGAAAAGGATTGGATGCGCATAGAATAGCGTGGTCACAAGAAGGTCGGGTTATTGTCTAGTTGGTGTCATTCATAGATCATTGTCACTACGTATGTTTCCGACTACATGACAGACGGTTAGTGAAGAAATTTGTATTCACCACTGCACTATGGTAAGTAAATATACCACTATCTTACCAACACAGGCATAAGATATAATAACAATTTATGTTTAGTATTTGATGTCAAGAAACAATACATTCGATCGGGTTATCAACTATTCAATACACGATCTGTGTATCATATATTCACACAATGTTTTATAAGTTAATGCTTATTTTGAAACATATTGCATTAATCCATGGCCTGCAGCGATTGTTTGTAACTGCGAACCACTTTGTTACGAGGATACAACGCATTGTACCATGACTATTAACAAAAATGACAGTGTGGCGTCTTAACCTATTCCATTCTCGCTCTTATTGTCCCCTTTTCAGTTTATCACGAAACACGCTTTTGTTTGCTATTTTCCTATCTAGCAACTCGCCCTACGTCAGTATTTCTGCTGTTCATACAAAGAACAAATAATAATGCCATAAACATTAAAGTTCAAAGTTTCAATGTTTACTGCCGAAAGCTACTTTATACTGAAGTACTTCAGGACAGACTACAATTCACATATTTCTTTTGTAAGGAGCGAATTCATATTCTTCCTTTTGTATTTTAAATTCAAGTTAAATTCAGATCCAGACGGAAAGAGTAGTAACAATAATGCCCAGCAAGAACAGTCAAACGTTATGCAAAATGGCCAATCAGTACAAAAGGAATCCACTGGAGAAGACTTGTCGAGTCGTGACTTGACCAAAGAACAGCATGACGGTAAGGTTGACTTGTGTGTGTTGTTTTGTTGCCAATAACATTCTGGTATACTAATAGGTTGACGTGAATCTATGACAGAGAGAACACACAATGGAGATTACAGAATAAATAGTATCGTGCGACCTTCGTTATACACCCAACTTTCTGTACGTGCCAGATGAACAGAACACGTGTATATGTTAAATAGTGCATAACTTACTATATCAGTAATTTGTATAGATTGCTACAATCGACGTACTGCAATGGTGACTTAGATAAATAACATGTCCGAATATTTTAGTTTACGTTTTAAGTAAATATTTGTAGTTTTGGTTTCATGCAGCGCGTCACTGTTATATCAACAATTAGTTGTAAATGAATTCACGATATGTTGTGGAAAACGTACACGATTACTTTTACATTAAGGTATATATGACATTGCTAGAGTAAACAAAATAAAGTCAAACGTCAGAGAGTCATATCATTCACAATCAGCGGTAATGTGTTAATACAGTCTGATTTTGTGATATACATGTGTATATCAAATTATACTTAAAGTCAGCAAGCGACACAACTGGTTAAATTATGGACCCATCGAGATAATAACCTCAACAAAGTAGTTTCAATAATGATAAAATTAATGGGTGCAATAGAGACTGTGTTTCGCTAGGATAAACAATGTTATCACACCCATGAATTTAGGATGAAATCATGACTACTGTGGTGTATATCGCACAAACGTAGATGCTATTCACTCTCTGACAGATCAGACGACAACAGACGCATCTTATATATTTTTAAAGACACGGCAACATTGACATTCCCACTTTTATGAATTAAAGGGGACATAAGAACTGAAAACCGCATGAAAACTACATCTGTGTACTTGATAATGTGATCACACATACCCTTCAACTACTAAGAACATTTCTTAAACATTCAATTGTTATCAAGTTGAAGTCAAAATAAAAACAAAAAAACAGTGAGCAGGTAATATATATATATTTATTTGATGAATGATGTTTATTTTTTTATTCAACTTTCGGTGTATATATATACATACCGAAAGTTGAAGAAAAAAAAACATCATTCATGAAACACACATCACAATAATCGCACAAAGCTTATCGATTTATCCAACAAATATAACTTAGCCCATAGTCCATCTATCTAGACAGAGGAACTGTGCTTAGCCTTGGTGTCGCCGGCGACCAATAAACTGACAAAAAAATCTACTACTGCGGATCAGCTCCAACATATCACATAAACAAGTACTTATCAATGAATAATCTTCCAATGACTATATACAATGTACTAGGAATAAAGGCACATAATAGGATTATAGCTGCCGGTGTGTGAATGATTAATATTTCAAAACACACCCACATTTAATTTTAAGTTCACAAAAGAATTTAATTTGGGTCAATATAAGGAGCATTTTAATGTTGATTTGTTTAAATTTGGCTAATACACCGTTTTGTGTTCATCGTATCTTACTCGTATGAACAAGTATTAATAAGGAACCCACTGCGACCCGCAGTGCGATTCACAATTACACATTACGAATATCAGAAAAGACACAGTTAAGACAAACTGATATTGTGACTGTAGTTCTAACGTCCCACCTATCTCTTTGACCATTGATACCCAAATGTACAGAACTCATAATATATGAGGGAGTGGTAAACACATGCACTGGATAATGTGCATTATAATCCCCATATCATGAAGGTCAAGGCTTTTGTATGCGTTATTTAGGAACCTAGTATTCAGCCATGAATACCTATAAAACTTTCCTATGCTGTACAATAGAACATCAGGATAGTAATGTATTTTCTGTCCAGGGTAATGAATGATATTACACAGCTATCCTGTTCTACGTGGCACAGGCAGGTTATACGTGAAGAAACCTATCAAACAGTATAGAAACAAGTTAGCATACATGGCGTTCAAGTTATATGCGATTCTGCTCTAGTCACGGTCGCCCTGTCGTGAACAAATCACGTATACACCTTTCGACTTTGAATTGTGGATTTTCTTTTATACTAACAGTTTGTAGGTTTATAGAAACGCTCTTCAATTGAACAAAATGTGTGAATCGTTCTTTGTAATAATAGTAACCTATGGTTTGTTACTCAGCAGTTTGTAAGTTCATTAAACTTTCTTTATAATGTTCATTATGTTACATGGGTTATCTACGTAGGGATACCTTATAAGCAGCTTATACATGACTCTCACGGTCAGCTGTTTTTTGGTACATTCAATACTCTGCATATTGTGCTTGCAGTTCAAATAATGGGCTCACTTAATCGCTTGACAAATTCCAACACCTTTCGAATTCTAACTCCAAAATGCCATTTTGTATTTCACCACCTTAAAATAAGCCACAGTAATTGCGTGGGCCAGTTTAAATGAAAGGAACAATGCACTGCAGCAAAATACATAGACAGTAAACATTATTCTTCGCCATCTGTATAAACATTTTACTTTCAACATAACCGCTCTCCCATAATCATGCGATATATTAAAAAGGACGAATCTCTAATTTTCACAGACAATCAGTTAAATTGGATGCACAATTGACAATAGAACAAACAAGAAGTTCTTTTCAAAGATATTGTCAATAAAGAAAATGCGTTTTCAAAAGACTCATGGCAACCATGCACAGTGTATATGCTTATCGGCGGTTCAAATATGTGCAGTAGTGTCGTAGTGCAAGAACATGGTACTAAAACGTATTAGCAAATAAATTATGCGAGGACAGCCAACATTGATTCTGTCACTGAATCGAAACTCATAGAACCGTGTGTTTTATAAGTGCGTCTAACTTAGATTGTCATCGTCTGAATCTCACGTCTGTGTGATCCCAACTCTACTCGAGTCAACAAACCTGAGACATGAGTGGCAAGGCAGTGACGAAAACATGTTCTTGCGATTGAGTGGTAGATTACGCCATAAATTATCCTCCAATTGAAGTAGGTCTTGCATGACTAAGTCCTACTTAATTGTGTCACTTCATTGGATGTAGAATCAATGGCAACTAATTGTATTCGGAATTTGTACTAACATTTTGACCCAATTGCAGGCTTTATTTCTCTAGGGTAGTGAGATTTTCAGTGAATAATTCTATAAATGTGGTGTGTAATTATTTATCTCAGTCATATCTTTTGAAAGACAGTCCCTTTTCCATTATTTGGGCAATAGGCCAATCTTATTTTAAGCTTATTGCCAGATTCCCATTCAGGTTTACTTTACAAACATTGGCATCCTACAAACAAACATTTGCGTCGCGTCTTCAATTTATTACATAGAATAAAATACATACCATATATATATATACGAGCCGTATATGTGGAAGGATTCTATTGTGAGTCGTCTTTCTATCAAAAGGATGTCATTGTAACAACAATTGTGTTTCGAAACAAATCATTTATATCACTGACCCTTTATACACTGTTACGTGAAATACGATTCGACCATTACTTATTCAGGATTATAGTAATTATTTAATAAGACAACGCCATACTATTCTAGAATAAACTACTAATATACAGGCGGTATAAACAACTGTCCCGTATATTGAACTCTGACCTCTGGTTGCATACTATGTCAGCAAAATTTATGCTTGTAACAACTTCCTTTGTGAGATAAATGTAACATCGCGATTTTATGGTCCATGGTACAAGACAATCGACAAGCGTAAACTTCTGTTTTATCATGTCATGGCAACCGTAACTAACAATGTTTATACCGCTTAGCAGCCGCACGACTGTGGCATCTATTTTAATACAACCTATTCCGTGTGAATGACACGAAGTGCAATTATTTTGACCATTTACGTATTGCCTACACAAATAAAATGAACAACGACTGGGATATTGACGCAGGGATATCGCATTAAATTGTCATTATGATAAAGCCCTGATACCTAGTCCCGAACAAGGTATATGGTCTATGTGAGACTACTAGGGTATGTATATGCACTGACTGCCAAAACTTGCACTTTCCACACAACAAACGTGGAGAGAGAGAACTATGGAATTCAGGAATTGTCGCCTAATATATATATATATATATATACATTTTATTCTCAAAAAACAAAAAAAACAAAAAAAAACTAAGAACAAGGACAATGAAATATGCGCATATAAACATAAATATGAGATATTAGTTGATTTGTGGGATTCGTGTTTACTTTATTACCAGCCATTGACATGACGAATGTATTTTACATACTGGGTATTGTAAACACACGCTAAAAATGGAATGTATACAACGAGGTAGAACAAAATAATTACGTAACCAAAATTGGAATAATACATAAGGGATAGAAAGACGCATTATATGACGTCATTATATCAAATTACCATGGATTAGACTAGGTACACAGTCCCACACAAGAAAAATGTATTACCTCGTGCCCGCAGTTGCTGTAGTTAAATACAATGACACGAAGCTACGCCGTTACTTTGTTTTTGGTATGACAAGAAAAATGTCTGCGTAAAAACCTAATGTCGAATACCGAGACATTTAAAAATTCTTATCATGCAACGACTCTATTCACTGTCGCTTTATCGTAATTATAGACTGAGTTCCTTAAAACATTCACATTTACGTCGAATTTGAACGTGGTTTGTGTTAAAACTTGTGGCTGAACGTCTTGAGCTGTATTTGTCGGCTCACCAAGCGGAATTTTTTGATTACTGTTATTTTGCTGTCATTGGCTGCCCGGCAATACTTCCATTTTCTACTTTCTACCTGAAATTGACTTCTTATTTACCAAACAAGAAATCATGTTTGTTCACTATTTCAAAAACGTCTTATTGAAAACTGTTGTAGTAGTATGTTTGACTATTTCATGACACATTTTATTTTCGTTAGGTTAGTCTCATTTCATTTTAGCTATTAATTTCACGAGTTTTGGTCACTTTGCCATTTTCGATATCTTCTTGATAATGAAGATTTGACATTTATATGTGATGTACATTTCACGATAAGTATGTTATATGCATCACTTAGCT